CATCGATATAATAGGGAAGGTTTGGGAAATCCAGACCTAAGTTAGTCTTATCTGACTGCCATTCCTTCTCATTGCTAAACACATAGCGTTTATCATTGAAGTCGATTCCGGCATACTTTAGGAGATACCGTATGGGTTGTGCATAACATCTTGTATCCCAATAGGCGAGTGTCGGGGTTGTGGCGGACATGTCGTTGAGTCTGAAAATAATAAGATTTTAATGTTTTCTATCATTTATAATAAATGAATATTCATGAATTGTCTGTATTTTATATAGTTTTACAACAAGTTCAAAACAAGTGCAATATTTAATGCAACAAAAATATACCCGGAATATAATTGATTTTAGACTCATGGTGAGTTTGCATTAATNTGAATATTCATGAATTGTCTGTATTTTATATAGTTTTACAACAAGTTCAAAACAAGTGCAATATTTAATGCAACAAAAATATACCCGGAATATAATTGATTTTAGACTCATGGTGAGTTTGCATTAATGATCGTATGGTTAGATTACCAAAAATTCTTATTAGCAACAAAAATGTGATATAATACTAATTTTCAAATAAACTTTGTAAACAACATGAGATTGAATTAAAACTAACTGTTATTATGAAATCATTATAAATCCGGTTTACTTTGTTTTCAAAACTTATTTTGTGTTATAAATAATGCTTATATTTAATTAATAATTATTAATAGTTTTTAATATAACTTATTCGACCCTGTCTTATTGGATTGCAAAATAGTTATGAAATTAAAAATATTTATAAATTATGAAAATAAAATTTATTTGCATTTGCTTGAAGTATAATGAAAATAATGTAAATACTATAATAAATTACATAGCTCTAAAATTAATTAAACTAATATGCTATAATGTTTACAATATTTTATATATTTAATAAAAATAATCTAAAGTATGTTTATTTCAAATCTAATAATCGAAATTTTCCAGGGTCACTAAAGTTTTAATAAATATAAAATTTAATCTTCGTAATTTAATTAAATGTACTTTAAATATTTACAAATAAAAATATTCTTTAAAAAAGTTATGAAATAAGTAATTAATAAAAATAAATTCTTATAGAATATTGTATTTATTAATGAAATGTAAATACTATTAATGCAATCGTTAGTAATTTATTGCTTTAATTATTATTAATCTATAAATAAAGTGCACTGAATAAATATACTACTCTATGCTATTTGTATATTCAGTTGAGCCCTTTTATATAACTACTGTACTTTGAATGAGGTTTATAAAAATTAGTAGACCCTGTTCATAACAATATGTTACATAACAGTTAGCATGCACTCATATTAAATTTTTAATTAAAAATGTACATTTTAAGGTCATTATCATTACAACATTTTATATTTACTAATAATTGCTTTTTATTAATTTCAATCACCTACAGGTGCTATCACCATACCCCTGGTCATCACCGATATTATTATTTTAATGAAATATTTTGTTGTTGTACTAATAAATAAAATAATAATTATTTAACGGTCTCTATAACAACATATTATGTTGACAATTTTGTTGTCAACATTAAAATCAATGTTAATATCATTTATAAAACACTTTTTCAATAGCAATAAGTAGTTGTATGTTGACAGCGATGACAAACCTGCCTTGAATATTAAATGTAACTATTAATTATACGGTATTTATATATTTAATAAATGAATTTAAAATTTTAATTTACATAATTAGAAGCTTTCATAATTGTATGAATTTTTATTTGCAATTAAAACCTAAATTTTAATAATAATTACTAAAATTTTTATGAAACTTATTTATAATGCAAAATACATTTGCAGTTTAGATATCGATTTTATGTCACAATATTATTCAGCATAAGAGTGCAGAATATTCTACTTTACTATTCAACTCATATCTACAATCAATAGTAAGAGAATATTCTGTATATTTTGCAATCAATTTCAATGTCACTCGATATAACACTGTTTTCTAAACGCTATTATTGCGATCCAACAGGACTTAACATTTAACAACCTATTAAACAACAGAATATTTAAATAGCTATAAAAACAATTTAAAACAAAAACCTGTTGAGTGTAACCCGGGTGTCAACAACTACCGACCCCCAAAAAATGTGGACAACAGGTCACCTGACGGTGGAGTCGGGGCCAGTGAACCAATGGCCCAAAACCAGAAAGTTTTTATTCCTGATATGTCTCATAGCATTCATGTATCAAATATTTCAAATCACTCGACGCTACTATAAATATGATGTCGAGATCCGGACCAAACAGCTGGAGCGCCGGGATCGCCGACACCTGGACATACCGGCCGTCACCATATGCACCGGTAGTGACGTGGCCTACCTTAAGAAGACTCTATACCGAGAGTTCCCTAAAATTAAACAATCGTTTGTTGAGATCGACAAACAAAACCTGACGGACGAGAAAACCTACGTCCAGAAGGAGCTCCGGTATTACATGACCGCCTGGTCGCTGGACTACAAGAGCTACTTCAAGCACACCATACAGGAACGGGATTTCATGCGCTGTTACCTCAACCCGCCGACCATTTACATGAAGTCGCACGAGTGGACACTGCGGGCGGCCTACTGTCGCGCATTCGCGCCGGTAGTCGAGACTCGGGTCACGCCGTACGGCAAGTGCTTCACGTATTTCTCGAGACAGGACTCGGAGTTTAAGGACAGGACAGACATGCAGATAGACGTGAACGACATAGACTCCCGGAGCTCTGTCGTGAGTCTAGTGGTGTCGATGGATAAGTTCGCGGACGCCATATATGGAGGGGATGTGGAGCTCAACGATGTGGTCGAGTCCACGGGTGATGGGGATGTCAACCAAAACGCCTATATGTTTATACATGAGGGCACCCGTACCCCCAGTTTTGACTTGAATGATGCTATAGTGTTAACAGCGGGCAAGTACTATGACGTACGCTTTTGGAGCACCAGTAGGCAGAAACTGAAGCCTCCGTTTCCGCACAACTGCTACGACTATCACAAGGATATGATGTCCAAAGAGTCGGCGAAGTCGAGGGAACAGTGCGTACGGAACTGTTACGTACGTAAGTCGTCGGCGGCGTCCCAGTGTCTGGTGGCCAGGAATCCGCTCGTCAACGACCATACTGTCCGCTCTTACGATCTCAGACAATGCTATAACCCGATGAACTACTTCTCGCACAAGAGTCTGCAGATAACTATCAAGAATGGTATGGATTACAAGACTAGTCAACGGATTTCCAGTGAATGTCAGAAGTCGTGCCGTGAGGACTGTCACCAAACGGACTATCACTACGATTACCGTAAATCCGATCATCACCTTACAGGAATTCATAATCCGGTAAACATTATTTTATAAATTAATTAAATCTTAATTAATTAATAAAAATAAAAATAATATTAAAGAATTTTAAAAATATCTTTGAGGCAATAAAATAAAATAGATTTTATATTTTAATAGTAGTGATCATAAGGCTTAGTTTATTAGTAGTTAGAAACTACTTTTAATATAATATTTATTAAATAGTTTAATAAATAATAATTCAAAAAATCATATACACTTATACATAGCCCTAACCATTAAAATTCTATAAAAATTATTTACAAAATGTTGTATTTTGTATAAAGAAATTGTATTAAATTCCGATATAATAACTGATATTCTGTACAGAATTCAGACTTTACTCTACGGAACTTCAGTTGGATTCGTTTGCGCCATCGAAGGGATCACGACTATCAGCAACGGTACCGTCCGGTGCACACCATGTGTGAGACCATACGGGATATATTTATCACCATGCTCATTTGGTTTGGATTATCTATATTCTCGTTCTCGTCAGTATTGGAAATGATATTCAGTAGAGCCCGGCCTCAGATCTATGCCATACCTTATTTCAACGATAAGGTTGAGCCTAATATCATACAAGTGATGCCACCCCCGGCTAATGCTAACCTCTCTAACCCGGCTACCCTTGGAGTGAACAACGCCTGTATGTCAGTGACTAGTGGGACGGGATTGATAACACCGGCACCGGTAGTGAAACCCAAGTTCACGGCTACTAATATGGGTTCAAATGTAAAGCTCGATCACTACAATGCGTTCATATCTAAAGTATATGAGGGCTGTCCGGATGCACCGGTAGTTGAGCTGCCGTTGAAAAAGTCATAAAGTATCTATTAATTTGTTTTTGTTTTTTTTGAATAATTGTTTTGCAGCATAAAATCAATATAAATATATAATACTTAATATGAATTAAAAATACAGTACAATACAAAACAATACTCAACATTACTATAATAGTCTTTAAATGTAATAATTGGGAACATATGACACTATTTTTTGTAAACAGGGTTTCAATTATAACATCGATATTGTGAATGCTAACAGTTAATCAATAATACCTATAATTACAAGTTATAATTGCTACTATAGAAAGACTTTTATTATTATACGGACAAATAATAAATTGATTTTTATATTTATAGCCCATATATAGCGCACAAGAAGTTTATTTTTAAATATTTGTCAACATTTTATTATTCAAGCATTTAATTTGAAAGTAACATTAGAAAGGTCTAAATAAAAGTAAAATTTATTTTTGTGTGAATTGCTATCATAAGATAGATATTTTTTTATGTTAATAAAACAAATAACAAATAATTTTTAATTTAAAATCTATAATCAAATGTAAATGTATGTAATATTCTCAAGACAAAACATCTAATAATTTTAAAAATTGTATTTCCTATCAATAATTATAATTTATAAATTATGTGCTTGAATTAACAAACAGTGTATTATGTTTAATTAAATTTGAAATATAAATATTTATAAAGTAATCAAAATTATAAGTTCAATTAAAATGTATTTTTATTTGGTATACTGTATTTAGGTTTAAACATTTGCAATTATCCAGACTTTATTTTCTAGATTCTAGAACTTTCTATTTGATTACAATATCATGGTGAGTATGCAATCAATTGGATCCTGGTTTTATTTTGCGTTCAAATAAATGACTGTAAAAATATCAAGGATTTTATTTGTTGTATAAATACTCAACACTTATAATAATTGTTTACTAAATCATTAATTAAAGTTACACTCAATTTAAAACGATGTCAACTAAACCTACGGTCGGCTACTGGAGCTTTAGGGGTAAGGCTCAGTCCATACGGTATCTCCTAAAGTATGCCGGAGTCGACTTCAATGATAAACGCTATGAATTAGCAAGCAAAGACATCTGGTTCACAGCTAAGCCTAACTTAGGTCTGGATTTCCCAAACCTTCCCTATTATATGGATGGAGACATAAAACTGTCCCAAAGTGTGGCGATAATGAGATATTTGGCGCGAAAGCACGGACTGGTGGCCAGGGATGACCCCACACTCGCCCGGCAAGAGATGGTTGAGCAACAACTCCAAGACATGTTTATGGCTTTTTTCATGGCTTTGAAAAATACTGGCGACGATGACGCCAAATGGAAAGACTATTGCGCCGGTACTCTAAAGCAACACATCACTCTATTGGTCAAGTTCTTGGGGGATAAGCAGTGGCTGACCGGACAGTTGTCTTATGTGGACTTCTGGGCCTACGAGATACTGGACGGTATGAGAGCGTACGTCCCACCGGTCGTTGATAAGTGTCCCACAATTAAGCAGTATTTGGATCGCTTCGAAGCACTTCCACCCATTAAAGCCTACCGGAGCTCATCT